ATATAATGATTTATAATAAAATAAAACTAACTCTAACAATATAAAAAAAACTATTTTTTCCATAAAAAAGTACGCAATTATAATTAGTAAATAAATTATAAAAATCTAATAATAAAAATTTGGAACCATTGACTACATGGATATATAATGTTAAATAAATTAAACATATATAAAAAATTAAAAATAATATTTAAAAAAATAAAATATAATATATAATATTATTTATTTAAAATCAATAATTATTTTAATTACATTTTTACTTATAAGCCTAATAATTATCTATCTCTCTATAAAATCTAATAGTTTATCTGGAGATTCTAAAGTTATTCTTGTGAACTTGATATGTTGTTGAAATCACGTGCGCGAGAAAATGCGAGAAAATCTCCGCTGGCAACACTGGTCTTATACCGACTCTCAAGCAGGAGACGTACAGCGAGTCATTAACCTTTATAATATTTTATTATAATAAACTCAGTTATATATCAACGAAGTGTTGTTCATTAATGGTTACTGATTGTGCCATCCTCCCTACAAATATGAGGGCTCAGCCGGGATCGGACGCAAGTAACAATGACGACGACGCTACGAGAAAAAAGACGCCGAATAGCAAGTAACGACGACGACGACGCTACGAGGGAAAAGACGCCGAGCAACAAGTACGAATGACACTGTGAGGAAAGACGAGAAGAAGGGAGAGAAGAAGACGAAAAGAAGAAGAAATAAATAATGAGAGAAGTAAGACGAAAGAGATAAGAAAATTCCGGAAGTCTATCATCTTCGGGAAGCCATCCGGGAAGACTTCCGTAAGATCTACTATCATCGGCGGGAAAGGAACATTCGAGAAGGTACAGGGTATATAGTGCAAGGCTGTCGAATGCGGATATCGACCATATTGCTTGTGTCGCAGATTGCTTGCGTTGTGCTTGTCTCGTATATCGCCCGTATCGTATAATACATACTGCTTTTGTGAAAACTGAAGACGGTTACTATTATAGTAAGCGATGAAGATGCTTGATCAGAGCTAGGCCAATCGCCGATAAGAACATCATCACGCCCTGCCGTATACGCATTTCATCGGTTGATATTCGAGAAAGATGGAGATCGCACTAATCGTAGACAGTTACGTGATTTTAGCGGTTTTGATTTTGACTCATCTGATAAGTTTCGAGAAAAGTTAGAGTACGCCACCACTTTTTCGATTGGTGATTTAACTTCCATGTGCAATATTTTTGGTTTGGACTACATTAGTGCCAAAGAGGAATTGCAACGGAGTCATACAAGCGCTTGTGAGCATTAAAACATTGGTGCCACTCGACGTGGAAACAAAGGAAGAGTCGGAAGAAAAGCCAGGGGAACGCCAATGACGAGGAAGAATATCGAACATAACGACGATGTGATTGATCAGCGGATAAATAAGGAGGTTAGTGTTGCTTCAATGATCATAGACACCGACGCAGTTAACAGCGAACGAAGTGTGTGAAGAGCAAGAAGGGATACTACAAAGATTTCGTTCAATTTTAAAGATGTCGAAGACACAATCCGTCCATTTTATGGAAGCAACTGTTACCTGATAGAAAAGTGGATTGCAGACTTTGAAGACCTAGCAATTTTATTTAAGTGGAACGACGTGCAGAAGTTAGTGTTCGGTCATAAATCTCTTAAAGGCCAAAACATTTGTGCATGGACTGAGTGTTACGCAATCTTGGGAAAAATTAAAAGATGCGTTAAAAGAAGAATTTAGTCGCAGAATAAGCAGCGCCGATGTGCATTGAAGGTTAGTCAAAAGACAATTGAAGAAGGAAGGCTTACAAGAATATTATTTAATCATGAGAGAGTTAGCTTTTCAAGGAAGTATCGATACTGAATCGATGATATAATATATTATTGATAGTATTCCGGAAGGCAATAAAGGTAGTATTATACGGAGCTTGAGACTATAGTGAGTTCAGAACTCGCTTCATTTGAGAAGATGCAGGAACGGGCATCTAACAGCAAGGGTAACTTGAAAGGCACAAAGCAAAACGATGCTAAATCTTCAAAAGATAACCCGAAGAAAATGACTAAACTAAGACAGCAGACTGTTGTTACAATTGTGGCGAGAGTGGACATAGATCACGAACGTGCAAATTTAAGGAGTAAACAAGGGTAAAAAATGTTTCAAATGTAATACTTTCCGACATGAATCTAAGAGTTGTCCAGATAGCTCTATAATACGTAGGTAACGACGAATGTTCTTGTTAATTCTGTTAGCATAAGCCGAATGTATAAAAAGATTGTGATTGAAGGTAAAATTTTTTAAATGCATTGGTAGATACAGGTAGTCATCTCTCCTTGATGCGCGAAGATGTTTTCAGGACATTAATGCTGCAAGACTATAGGAATCGGAAGTACTTTTAAGCATCATTCAAGGTCAAGTTAAGACGCTCGGATATTTTCAGATAACAATTACAGTAGATGATCTTCTTTTTCCATTAATTAATGTTTCATGTGGTCCTTTGCAAACCATTAACTGTCAATGTAATTTTAGGAACTGATTTTATTAGTCAAGCCGAAACAAAAATCGATCAAAATGGGATTAGGATTAATAAATAATAATGCTTCGATTTTCCTTGCAAATATTGAGTTATAACCGGAAGATTGCGATTCATACTGCCTAATAATTGATGAAGAATCTAAAGATGTTGTAGAAAATATGATATTGACGTACCAACCTAACAAAACTAAGACAATCGATATTAAGAATTAAGAATTACACTGAAGGATGAAACGCCTATTTATCAGAGTCCACGGTGATTAGCATTAAGAGAAAGGTATTATCGAGAAACAGGTGAATGATTAGATAAATGATAGAATTGTTGAACCTTGTTCATCTGAATATGCGAGTCCCTTAGTGATTGTTAAGAAAAAAGATGTGTCGATTACAGGAAATTGAATAGATTAATAGTAAAAGATAAATATCCGCTTTCGATAATAGAGAATCAAATAGATCGATTAGCAGAAGCTCGTATATTCAGTACGATAGATCTTAAGAATGGATTTTTTCATGTGGACGTAAAGAAACAAAGCCGTAAGTAAACTTTTATTACTTATATGCCCCCTCAGGGGCAGTATTACTTTTTGAAAGTACTTTTTAGTTTATGCAATTTACCTCCTGTCTTCCAAAGGTTTATAAATCATATCTTTCGTCCTCTTATTAGAAGGAATCATATTGCTATTTTTAGACTTGATTGTAATTGCGACTGAAGAAGGTATAAAACGTTTACGTAGTTCTTCAAGTAGCAAATGATTACGGTTTAGATATCAATAAAAGTAAATGTTAGTTGTTTCAATCGAAGATAGAATACCGGATATATAATAGAGAGCGGAAAAGTTTATTTGTTTCCTGATAAGCTGTTTTGAATTTCCCAGAGCCAAACTCATTAAAAGACGTTCAGAGTTTTCTTGGACTTTCCGGTTATTTTCGAAAATTTATTGAGTCTCGCAATTAAAGCAAAGTCTCTTAGTAATTTAAGAAAGAAAATTCATTCCAGGTTACCTCTAAAGAGAAAGAGTCTTTTGAACAAATGAAATTAGATTTAAGTCGTAGTCCAGTTTTAAAAATATTTAACCTGAAAGATGAAATCGAATTGCATACTGATGTGTGTAAAGATTTTGGGGCAATATTATTGCAAAAAGCCCTGATGATGACAAATGGCATCCGATACATTATATGAGTCATAGAACAATAAAGATCGAATCGAGATATACGAGCTATGAACTCGAAATATTAGCCATAATAAAAGTCTTAGAAAAGTTCCGCCACTATCTCCTGGGAATATGTTTTAAGATTTTTACTTTGTATAACTTTTGATTATATAACTTTTAAGCAATGAATAAAGTTAAATTGTCTGCTAAGATTGCAAGATGGGTCTTGATAATTGAAGAATTCGACATGATCGTAGGATTAACTCTAGAATGAGATATTGATTCTCTTAGCCATTATCCAATTATGGCGATTAGTAGTGGAGATAGTATCCTAATTAGACTTAGAAACACTCAGAGAAATGATTCGGAGCTATAGGCTATTATGGAAGTTTTGAAAAAGAAACCATATAATGATTACCTTTTACATAATGATGTGTTGTAAATATAAAGATCAAGAATTATTAGTAATACCGCAAGACATGCAAAATGAAATGATCCAGATGACTCAGTAAAGGTCATTTCCCGATCAAGCGCACAGAGGAAGCTATTAAGCAGTTTTACATATCAAAACTCACGACGAAAATTGAAAATGTAATAGCGAATTGCATACTTTGTCTATTAGGTAATAAGAAAATTCGGGGTAAAAGTTTCCTTAATCTAATGATAAAGGTGATACGCCGTTGCATACCACTTAGATCATTTGGGACCATTGGATTCCACCAATAAAAACTATAATCACATTTTAGCCGGATAGCTTTACTAAATTTATTTGGCTATCCTACTAAATCTACGACGTCCAAAGAAATGGTTGCTAAGTTACAGTTGCAGAGCCAAGTGTTTGGAAACTCGTCCTGCATTATCGTTGATAGAGGTACAGCATTTTCCTCCTCAGAGTTTGAGAATTATTGTAAAAAACAGGGAATTAAGCATGTAATGGTCATCACCAATCTACCGCAAGTGAACAGACAGGTGGAAAGAGTTAAGCGTACAATTATTCCAGTGTTTACGAAACGTTCAATGAGTGATCCCACGAAGTGGTACAAACATGTATCGACAATCTAGCAAATGTTAAAGTCTACTTTTCAAAAGAGTATTGGTATGACCTCGTTTGAATTACTAACTAGAGTTAGAATGAAATTAAAAGATGATTTAAGAGTAAAAGATGCACTTGAAAAAGAATTCCAGTTGCAATTCGAATCGTGAACAATTGCGAACGCTACTTAAGAAAATACTTAAAGTACAAGACGAAAATCGTAGAACTTAAGAAGACGCGAACCCACTAGGTATAAGGTGATCTGATTGAGATTAAAGGAGTGCAAATGGGCTCCAGTAAGAAACTTTGCGCTGAGGACGATTAGGTCCTCATAAAAGTGTAAAAGTCAAACCTAATAATTCTTACGACGTGAAGTGTGAGGTGCCTGGCGAAGGTCCAATGAGAAGTACCGAATACATAAAACTATGGTCTACTGTAACCATTTTTGTTCAGGATGGCCGAGTTGTGGGGATATTGTATTACTGCCGTTCATATTTAATATTCGACGTAAATATTGACAGCACGCGCCCTCGAGATAGGGATTTTTCCCAATTCGGTGGAGCGGCGTGAGCAGGTTGGCAACGTGCCTCCCATAGATAATGCTCACGCCGTGTGTGTGAACAGTTTTATACTGACTCTCAAATAGGAGCGAATCATTAACCTTTATAATATTTTATTATAATAAACTCAGTTATGTATCAATGAAGAGTTATTTATTACTGATTCCGATTGTACCATCCTCCCTACAGTTATATATAAATATGTTTGATGCTTATAAAGAAAAAAATTATTATCATAATATTATATATAGAAATACAATCTCGGTGTTATAGACAGCAATGCTTGTCCTTTTTTTCTATAAACAAAACGAGGATTTCTCTTACTTATGTAATATAATGTGAATAATCTTGAGATCTCAGCATGCTCATGCATAATCTTGATCTCATAATGTGTCTTTTGTAACGCCCAATCTTGCCACATACGCTCGAATAATTCTCTAAACTAAAAGAAAGTAATAAGTAAAGAATCATATATTTTTAAAAATCTATAATAAAAATAGCAATGGGCATTGAGACGCAATGGTATTGTTTCCTGATAACAAAAATTGACAGAACAATTGAGAACAATAGGATTTCTATCATTTTACATCATTTTCTATAATTATGATATTATTTTTTATTATGATATTATAATTCTATGACATTAGCAATGGTTGAAAATACGTGATACAGGCGATAACTCGCAAATTTTCTGGTATCATTTTCTATGTGTTTATATTCATTTTCTATCGTTGACTTCGCAAACATCACGATTGATTGGATATGAATCCTATTGTATTTTATTGGATTTTATAAGATATTTTTATAAGATTTGTATAAAATTTGATTCAAAGTGAATTCTTAGTGAATTCACGAACTAGATTTCATATTCAAAATAATAGGATTTTTATATCGTTCTCTATCAATTTTTTTACTAGGGTCAGCAATTACTATTCAGCTTCATGTTCCATGCAGATTAACACTTTGTCAAGTTGCGAGTGACTTAAATATTATGGATATGTGAGCTAATTATACTTGTATCATTCTTGCTGAGGAGGACTCCAAAGAGAGTCGAAACGTTCAAAAGAAAGAAGACATTAATCTGATTATTGATTGTTTTCTAAATTGCACCGTTATCATTACTGACTCTCAGTAGCCTACTATATGTATAGTTATCTTTTTGTATCGTTTAACATTTGAGAGTTCTAATATAATTATTGTTATCGTTTATGTTGCATATTTTGCCAGTGTATAGCTTTTATTTATTATTAAATATTAGTGAATATAAAAACACATCATTGTCTGAATTAGTGTAAGATTAAGCTAAATAACGTTCCATTAAAATACAATTGTATATACAAAAGTAATTTTTTTCTATTTATCTAAATATTAATGGCAGTCTAGATTTTTGGATATTGGGGACAAAAGATGTATTCTATTGAGTTTTTTCTATTGAGTTTATAAGTAAAGATCTAAAAATTTTTTAGAAACTTACTTTGTCTATATGTATTATACGTGAATACAAATTGCTCAGGCTACCTAGTACAAATAGAAGAGATGGTATCCCATCCACTATAAAATCCAGAGTAATTTCAGATGTAAACATGCTCGAAATCTAGAAATAGTGTTAAAAGTGGAATAATTAATATAATTTCATGGAAAAATAATCCAGTATACAGATAATCCAATTAAATATCTCGCGTTAATACTCTTCATTATAGCTCCGATACAATACATCTGTTTGGTTACTTATTGTATTTTATTTGTATTTTAATATTATATGTTATTTCCGATCTTTTAATTGAAAACATATTTAATATTTAATTGAAAAAAAAAATTATTTTTTAAAGCTGTGATTACCTGAACAAATACAGACGACAGCATGACAACAGAGATAACAACTCTTGTTAAATGAGCGCTCCACTCGCTTTGATAAGGCCACAGTCCACTAACCGATAGAAGAAATCGGATAAATTTGTAGTAATGCTCTTCAGGATGTTCCATTTGCTTCGAAAGTTTCAATAGAACTGACTGCGAGCCAGTTGTATTACTTATAATTATTTCCCTCTGAAGTTCGTCTGATTTTTACATTTTTTATTTTTTTTCTTTTAGCATCATGCGTTATTAGGCAAATAACATCAAAGGAAAATGCATGTATTTAATGTGGGAGCGAAAATTGTTCTATGATGTCGGAAGAATTGATCACTAAATTATTCAGTATTCGCATAATTTCATGGGAAAGAACCATCGATAAACTCTCCAGATGGAAATTGTCATTAGTTTTTTCTACGGTTTCTTTTTCATGTGCGATTATTTCGTAGATTATAATTTGTAAATAATTTGTATCGTTCAATTTTTCTATTATAATAGGAAAAGTTGAGGTGAAAATTAAAAAAAATTTAACATAAAAAAATACTTTTGCGGCATTCATACATATTAACTTTACAGTACATTACTGTTATTGATACTCCATAAATGATCGTTAGAAACAGGTATTTCTTTTTAAATATAGCTATAAATTTAGATGTAAAATGCAAAAAATAGATATTTAATTCTGCGATATCAAGGAAAATGGAAAAAGTATATGTACTCTAGAGAAATCCTTACTACAACTGATCTCTATTTTTTTATTTTTTTAAAAGAAATTTTGATAAATATTAAAAATAACGGAAGCAACTCCAATAACCTTGACCTTGACATGTGTTGTCAAGATTATCGGAGCTGCTTCGTTATTATTAATATTAGCCGAAATTTTTAGAGACTTGTATCTTTTCCTTAAAATCCATCTATTTAAAAATATAAAAAAAAAATTCACTCATCGAAGAAAATTTTCCATTGCAGTAAGAATCATGAATGAAATACTTTTACATTGTATTTTTTAAATAAGACGAATTAGTATAATTATAAAAAATTATTTATCAATCAATTCAAACGAGGTTTAGTGTTAGTGTTTAGTGTTAGTGATTAGGTTCAATGTGAATGCAATGAATTTGTAATCAACAATTTGATTCTGACTTTCATCCTGCGTCACGCCTTGATTTATAAGAAGTTGATTGGAGAATTGATTTTGGGTAAAAAGAATATGAGAATTATAATTGATTTCGGGACTAATAAACTGATATTGTACTTAAACGCTATATTTCACGCAGTATGTAATAAAATGGCGACAATATCTTCGGTTAGATACATCTCTTCTACACAAGATCTAAGAAATATTATTAATTTTCCAGTGACAAATTCCTTGATTTCCTATTTTTTTAAATTAAAATTTTTCTCTAAAATTCATTCCTATAAAAATATAAAAATAGAATTGACTTACACATAATTCTATTTAGAGATCAAAGGAATGAAACTTTTCATGAAAAATAAATTAACTATAGATTCGTCAAAGAATCTCCCATTGACATAAGAATCACGAGTGGGATACGTCATATTTTTAAAATATTTGCATAGAATCACAAAGTATTCTAATAATTATAAAGTAATTGCTCGATATCTTCGCATAGAATAGCGAAAATCGGTCTCTCATAATTATTCAATTGCCAGCATGAATATCAATTTTCTATGAATTTCCTCTGGACAAGATGACGCCACGTTCCAATGCGTTCGATAAGTCCGTTATAGTCATCATTAAAATTTCTTTTTCAGCCACTCTGACTAATAGTTGTGGATCGACGCCATAACTAAAACTTCGTACATTGTCATACCAAATGACCACACGTCCAAACGCGTTGAAAATTTGTTATGCCTCAAGCTCTCTGGTGCATACATAAAAAAATTGTTTATTTCTCTGATAAAAAAATAATTCAATCTTAAAAGAATTAGCGAGAAAATATAAAATATTATATTATATAATAA